GATGCAAAATCGCTTGCCACGTAGGCATGAGACAGCCACATTTCGCCACACGATGCAGTCCTCGAACGGCAGTTAACAGCAGTTAAGTTGTCTGTGACAGGAGGGGCAAAATTGCTCGGATTGTAGAGTTAAGGGGCTTATATGCATCAATCAGAGTCTAGGGGCTTAATAGCGATTCTGGGGTTGGTTCAGGGGCTTAACTTATGGTTTTGCCATTAATCTATCCATTCGTCCGTCCACAAGCTTCCCCGTCCATTGATAAATTCCGTCCATGAACACATACATGGTGCAGTTTGTATCCAAACACAAACAGTGATGAGGAAATAAGCGGACTGAGAAGCCCTTTTCTGGGTATGATTTAATTCTGAACATGCTGGCTTGTTAGGCCTCCCTCTAATCATCCTAGAGTTAGACAAAGGCTATTTGATTTATGAATTTTGTTTAAATTTTCAATGACCACGCTAAAATAGAAATTTAAACCACTAATGAAATTTTCACAAAACATAAAAATAAAAGACACATTGGTATAGATATAAAGTAGTTAATTAACTAACCCCTTCTCTTCATAGGTTTCCTTGTAAATTTCCTCGTTATGGATGATATTTTGCTTAGAGATTCATGTCAAAAAATTATAAATTTCTGTAGCGAGCTATTTTTAATGTGTAACTTTACCAAATATTGTTTCCTTGTATTAGTAACCAAATACTCTTTTATTGAGAATCTCTTTCTGTTAAAGATTAGATAAATACTATTTTATTTGTGAATTTTGTGTAATTTAAACCACACCAAAATAACACTTGGGTCTTCGGTTCAATGACATTAGGCCACATATAAGTACATTCTCTTATCTCTTAGGGTAATGGTTTGAATCCAACCCCTTGCGAACTTGTTAAAAAAAAAAAGCACACCAAAATAGAAATTTAAACCACTCACAAAATTTAATAAAATTTTCTTTTGCTTTTCTAAAAATAAAGACACTCATGAAATTTTCACAAAACATAAATAGAAGACATATAAAAAGTAGTTAATTAACTCCTCTTTATTAAAGTTTAAGTATCTAGTAGTCGGTAGACTTATTATCACAGCTTAAATAAATAATATCACATGTTTTTAATATAATTGTATATTATGCCTTTGTAGTAGACATTTTTTTTTTAAATTCACATTTTTATTTTATAATAAAATAAAAAAGTATGATATTAATAATTGAGAATGTGATAATAACATTATTTTAAAATATGCACAAAATGAAAGAATTGAAAGAAAGACATTTTATTATGATTTAGAAAGATATGTTTTAAGAGTTACATATAATAGTTTTTATATAGACTCTATATAGATAATATAAGCAAATATGTCAACTACATTAAAATCCTTAAATATATTTATCCATTAATGCTGAATAAAATATATTATTTAATCAATCAATCACTAATGTGATTGAATCTCCTAATTCTTCAATCCTCTTCATAGATTTCCTTGTAGATTTCCTCATTATGGATGATATTCCCCTTAGAAATTCTTCGAGTCGAAAAATATAAGTTTCCTGAGCGAATTATTTTTGATGTGTGGCTTTCCCAAATATTGATTCGAGGCATGGGTGATCAAATACTCCTTTATGGAGAATCTTGTAGTTGCTGAATATCCTTGAGTTCCTGCTTCGAGTTGGTCCTTCTTCAAATGGTCCTGCAAAATCCTGAGGTTGGTCATCGGGGAGAAACTCCGATGCTTAAGTTAGTATTTTTCCGATCAACCCTCCTCTCTTTTGTTCCGCCTATTTATCGAGTCTTACCTTGCGGGCTGTCTCGCTTGGCAAGGCACCCACGTGGCTCGTCCACACCCACGTGGCCTAGTCAATCCAATAATGGTGACATGGTGTGCCTGACGGAGTAGACGTTTTAGGTGAGTGTAACATGCCTTAACGGAGCAACCGCATTAAATGCGCGTGGTGCGTTCTGGCGGAGCAGGTTCCTTGAGAAAGGGTGTTCTGATATGGACGAATGATCAGATGAGGGCATGTCTATCGTGGTTGTCATATACCCACGGCGAAGTGCCGAGGTGCGGTGAGCTCTGAGCTCTGCAGCCGA